GAATATGTGCTGGCCTGCCCCATTTGTGCTAGGAACAAGGCCTCGCATCAGCCACCCTCTGGTCTGCTACAACCTCTTCCGATCCCTTCACGTCCATGGTCCCACATTGCCATAGATTTCGTCACTGGTCTCCCCGTCTCTCGAGGTATGTCCACAATACTCACCATCGTTGACCGTTTTTCCAAGTCCTGTCATTTAGTCCCTCTCAGGAAGCTCCCCTCGGCGTTCCAGACTGCTCAGCTTCTCGTGAAACACGTCTTCAGATTACATGGCATTCCCCAGGAAATCCTATCAGACCGTGGTCCTCAATTTATCTCTCAAGTTTGGAAAGCCTTCTGCTCAGCTCTGGGCTGTAAGTCTGCTTTAACTTCAGGTTATCATCCACAATCCAACGGTCAGACCGAGCGCATGAATCAGCACCTTGAATCCACCCTCCGCTGCCTAACCTCCAACAACCCCACCGACTGGAGCCAATACCTTCCGTGGATCGAATACGCCCATAATTCACAAAAGTCAGCTTCCACCGGCCAGTCACCATTTCAGGTCAGTCATGGTTTCCAACCTCCACTTTTCCCTGCAGACGAGAAAGAAATAGCGGTCAAGACCATCAACCAACACATTCGTCGTTGTCAGAGAATTTGGAAGGAAACCATCACCACCCTCAACAGATCATCCGAGACCAATAAACGCTTCGCTGACTCCAAAAGACGTCCCGCCCCCGAGTACGCCATCGGACAAGAGGTTTGGCTATCTACCCGAGACATCCCCTTGAAACTTTCTCCCAGATTCATCGGTCCATTCAAGGTTTCCCAGGTCATCAGTCCCTCTGCAGTCCGCCTCCAGGTACCTCCGAGTCTACGCATCCACTCCACCTTCCATGTCTCTCAGGTTAAGCCCGTGTTTTCTAGTCCCTTGTAGGAGAAGTACCTCCTTTCTCCAGCAGAGTCCGCCGTGGATCCTCCTGAGCAGAGCCTCTTGCACAGCTGCTGCTCATTACCATCATCAAGAGGATCCACTACTTAAGCTGCCTTCAGACCTTGCCTCAACGCCGCAGTGTTGAGCCAGTTGGAAAACCTGATCTTCCCTTGCGAAGCTCAGGAAGAGCTTAACCTGCCGAGCCTGCCCTCTGAGCCAAACCTGAAGATTACCTCTGGATTCACATGCAGCTCTGGACCAAGAGCTGGAAACCCAAAGTCAAGGTCTGCTACCTTCCTAGAAGCAAGACGCTGAAGCAGCTAACGGACTCTGCTAACCAGACTCTCTCCAGTTCCAACAACCTTCCTCTCCAAGTGCTATTCAAGGACCCTCAAGGTACAAACCAGAAACTATCTAAGGACAGTCCTCTAAGAACCCAACTAACTAAACTGTCTTCCTCACAGACTCCGGTGAACCCGTTTTTCCCAGGACCAGAACCTGAACACATTATCTCTGAAATTGTATTCAATAAACTCTGTGAACTTTTCAACTGTTTCCTGCCTCGTGGTGTTCTGCATAATTGGGTCACATTCGTGTACCGATCATGACATTTTTGACTTTTTGGAAAAAGAGTAAAGTCAATGCGCTATAGAGGAAATGGAAACCAAACTGTCCAATCATTTCTGAACATCACATGAATGATCAGCTGTTTCTGCTGCCAGCATCCCATCCTGGATGCCAGCATTCGCACGTCTCTCTTGAGGGTACCATCCCTAATACTAGCTGATGTGAAAAAGATTGCAACACATTGTTTACACCCTCGCTTCATGATGCCTTGGTTCATATTGTTCAAATTTGCAAATTTTTTTTTTTTCAACATTTTAAAATTCTCTTCAAAATTCAGATGACAATTGGATGGAAATACAGCTCTTAGGTCGGTCCCCTAAAATTCAGATTTGGACTTCAGCCCTAAACTCCTCACTAGCAGCAAAAATCTGTCTGTTTTGAAATCTATTTAAATTAATGTAGCTATAAAATATAAAGTGCCGAGAGCCCAAAAATGCTAAGAGTAATCTACCAATCAGAAAATCTTAGAGTAGTATCAGTACAAACATTAATGCCCTGACTATAGCTTTATGGAGATAGGTTGGTAGGAAGGGAAAAAATTGTTCAAAGATATACATAAAGACTCCAGACAGATTTTATAAAACAGATTAAAATAATAGAAATATATACAAATTGTCTGGATGATTGAATGTTTTCACCAAATGTGACAGAAGTGGAAAGCAGTCAAAAAGTCAGTGAAGTTTGCAGACTGTTGGTTTAGAATTGTCCTATAACATAAAACTCATGAGAACCTTATTTCAAATAAAAAAAGAGCTAAAAGAAGAAACTCCTCTTCACATAAACTTATTATAATATATAGACCTACTGTACAAACCAGATATATAGCTGAATGTTCACACCTAAAACTAAAGAAAAAAAAGCAACATGTGAGAGAGAAGGTGAAGGAAAACATAATCAGAAACCGTAGTTTGCACAGGCATGCAAACAAAAACTAAATTTGCAGCTCCGTGAGTGAAATTTGTCTGAGTCTCAACCTGCCAACTCTATTTCACACATGATGCTGCTCTTTCTTTCACCATTTCTGTTAGCATCTCTCAATCTCTGTCACTCTAACTGCCTCACCAGGTGTGATAGCAGTTTAGCTAAATAACAAATAAATGATCAAAGATGGGCATTCTGAGTCCCGTCAAAAGAGCTAGAAATTATTATTGGGAGAGACTGGGAGGAATCATTTAAGAGGAAAAAAAAAGATTCTGTAATATTAAATTAAACTAAGACAAGGATTTAAGTCTGGACTTCGATTAGACCCTCCTCTAGCATGATCTAAACCACTGCATTGTGGCTCTAGTGGTACATTTTGAATTGCTTCCTCCCATTTTCCAATTGTATTTGAATCGTCTGCACTTACATAGCGCTTTTTCAAGTCAGGAGACTTGGCCAAAGTTTTTTTTTTAGTCATTCACCCATTCACACACACACTGATGGTGGCAAACAACATTGTAGCCACAGCTGCCCTGGGTCTCACTGACAGAAGTGAGGGTGCTGTACACTGGTACCATAGGGCCCTCTGTCCATCAGAAGGCAATGCAGGCAAAGTGTCTTGCCTGGGGCAACGACACTGAAAGCTTGAGCCGGGGCTAGAACCAACAACCCTGCGATTGCGGGCAAACTCCTGCACCCGATGACACTGTCGCCCACATTTGACTAGTTCCTTGGCCCGGCTAAAAAATACCCAGCATGAATCACTCACCTCCATGTTTCATTCAGGTTTATGTCGGTTTCTGCCACAAATAGACAAATGTGTTTAATGCTGGAGCACATTTTTTTACAAACATTTGGTGTTTTCCATATGTGGCAGCAACCAATTGGAGGAAATTTAGGCCTAGTGGGTTAGAGCAGTGTGCTTGTGCTCTAAGAAGGTTTCAAGTACCCGGTTCAAAGCCCACTGCCTCTACTCTGGGTTCCTGAGCAAGACTCTTAAGCCCCGTTTTCTCCCCAGGTGCTGCACAATGGCACCGCCCACTGCTCCCCAAGGGTATGGGTTAAACGAAATGGTAAATTTCTCCAGTGTGAGTTCAATTTAAAAAAGACTTTGAATCCCTTCCTTCTTTTAATTTTCTACAAAGGAAAACTTGTGAGGCTCACTTGAGATGTGAATCCTCCATAGCTGAAATGGGCCCCTTTACTCTTTTTCTTGATTAATACACCTCTTGTCAGGCAGTCAAACCTGATGGGAAGCTCTATTTGGCTAGTTTTGTAGGTCTAACAGAATTTCAACGCTTGGGTTATTTATTTACAGCCCATAAAATCATCGTCACAGCTGTGTTAACTGGTGTTGGTGATACTTTTTGTTTACTTATGTTCTTTAAGAGGTATTTGAAGCCTTTAAAAAGCAGCTAGAATCAAAGAGAGATGGATAACACACAAGTGGACTGTATTTACAGAATCAAACGACTTTTAGAGGCAGCACTACATTTTATTTAGAAGCAGGACAACACTGAGACACACAATCGTGTACACCTAAGAACAATTCAGAGAAGTCAGTTAACCTAACAGTCATGTTTTGGGATTTTGGGAAGAAGGTGGAGTACCTGGAGAGAAACAACACATGCATGGAATAAAACCCAGCACCTTCTTACTGCAAGGCAGCAGAGCCAACTAAATACAGTTATTTAAATTTTTTTTATAAAATTCATAGAAGAGCACTCTGAGATTGTACACCTCCGCCAAGTATCTAATTTCCCCCACTGTATTGTAACCTCCCCCTGAAGTTTATACCTGTATTCTCAGAATCTTTCAAAGATTCCTAGATCCAGATGTGGTCTCGATCATCACCAAAATGTAATGGATAGCTATTTGCACTGAGGTGTCCCTTCGGTAAAGATTTCATTAAAATCCTTTCATAACTTTTAAAGTTATCTTTTACTAAGACAGACAAACACAGACACAAACGCTCCTAAAAACATAACCTCCTTTGCAGAGGTAACAAAGACAAAAAATGACCAACCTTATGATGCACTCACCCACTCTTCTCCTCCATCCCCTCTCCCGCCTGTGGAGCCACTTTTAGATGGAGCCCTAAAGGAAAAAGTCTTCAACTGTGAAGCATGGCAGAGCTGGAGATCAAGTCACCTCTGGTCCCGGCTGCAGATGGTCTCATTTATGAAAGGGTGCTCTCTTGTGGCCACTGAGAGTAAAATATGATCCACGCTTGGATTGACATGAAATATCCCACTCTCTAAAGTCATAAACGTGGGCTGCGATAGATAGATAGATAGATAGATAGATAGATAGATAGATAGATAGATAGATAGATAGATAGATAGATAGATAGATAGATAGATAGATAGATAGATAGATAGATAGATAGATAGATAGATAGATAGATAGTGCTATAAAATCCATATGCATGTTCTTAGTCTATTCTGTCTATGTCTCTCTCTCTCCAGCTCTCTCTCCCCCACTCCCCCCTACTTCCTCCTCCCCGCCTCCTGCTACTATAGCGCACCTTCACTTGTTCAGTCTTCATTCTGAGAGGAGAAGAGGGCGAAGACATGTGATTGGCCAGGCGGGGGAAGCTCTTTTCCTTTTCCTTGCTCCCGGTATTCATGTTTACGCCTTCGCTGACAGGGGCCAGAGTTGACGCGGCGCACAGGGGTCCGGTGTCCAAACTCGGGAGTAAAGTCTTTGGGTTATTTTTCGCTGCAACCTGTCAGCGTTTTACCTTTTACACTTCTTTTATGGGACATGACCTTCTATCGGCGCTGAATAGGACTCTCTTTTGTTTATTTTCTCCTTCCAGCGCAGCGATGCGTCAAAGTTTTTGGTGAGTCGGTGCGTTTGTGCGGAAGGCGGCAGGGAACCAGGTTAACCTTACAGATCCTAACAGACTGTGACACCGGGAAAGCCAACTTTTAATGCAAACGGAATCAAAGTTTTTTTATGTTTTATTTTTTGTTATGGATGCTTTTTTAACCAAAGGACAAGATTAACTCCACGTTTGTACAGTTGATGAACTCGTGGGTGTCCACGCCAACCTCATCCAGTGGTACAGACTGTGCAGGACAGGAGTCCCTCTCGGTGCGGAGGCACAGCCGGAAAAGATGCGCCTTGCTCCCCTGCAGCGTGTCCGAATTGTCGCTCCTTCGTTTCTTCTCCTGGTCTTTGGATTGGTGGTGTCTGGCACTGGTAAGTTTCAGCGCACATGGTGCGACGCACGCATGAGCTCCAGCTGCGCTCACAAAGTGCACAACATTGAAATCAGATTGAGGAATCTAAGTCACAGGTAACCTCTAGACCCCAAAGTGTTGCCTGTAAAGGGGGGGACTGTGCAGACCCCCTGCTGTTGAGCTTTTCTTCCCTCTCCCCAAAGCAAAATCTCAATGTTACACTAGACCTGAGCTCAGAGCTTCCCGTTTTATTCTTGAAGCGGAAAAATCAAAGTCTGGTGCGCAGGGAGTAATTAAGCTTTTGCTCCATGCTCTCCTGCCTCTCTCCACTGAGGGAAAAAAGCAAAGCAAAAGTCATTTGAAATGAAGTAACACCTCTTCAATAAAAGATACAGCATCTTTTTAAGTAAGGGTTGTTTCTTTTCCCGAGAACTTGCTTCGGAATTGCTGAACTTATCATAGTGAACTATTTATGCTGCTCCAATCTATTTTTTATTATGAGAGAAAGTTGTATTCTGAGTAGCCCAGGGTGAGGTTGGGACACATGAGATTTCTGACTGACATGAAAATGGACGAGATTTGTGTAAAAAGCATAACAGTACATGGAAAATTAAACTCAAATGAACATAATGCTTTTTTTGTCTTCAAAAGCATTATTCCTACTGCTTCACTATTCCTATTGAAACAATAATTTAATAGTATTATTATGTATTTCTATTATAATTTAAGTATTAAACCTAAATATAGAAAAAAAAACATGTCAGCTGCTCAACACACATGCTTCCCAGCATATCAGATGCTGTTTTAATAACGTGTTACTCAATTTATCAAGATGGGTGGCATTCACCATCAGGTTTGCTTCAGTTCCCACGACACAGCTGTGTAGGTGTGTGTTTAGGATGAAAAAATTTACAAATAATTCTTGTAAAAAAAAATGGTGTGTGCTTTCTTAAAGCCAGCTGTGTAGAAGTGTGCAGCAGCAGTCCAGTTAAAGTTTTCAATATGATTTTAAAGTCTAGCAACAGTGGCAGAACATTTGATGTGTTCTGTATTGTAACTTTAAGATATTTTGATGCTGGTGATCAGTCCTTCACTGGTGTGACATTACTGGTTTCACTCACTTGACCAGAATATCAAGAAGCAGGGGCGTTGTCAGACAAAAACCCATAGTTAAGCCTAGCCCTACAGGTAAACCCATAATTAAAACAGCTCATTTCCAAATTTTACCTCACTGAAGATCATAACTGAAATGACTGCCTTATTTTCATTTTTTTTTTTTACATTTTGTGAATTATATTTTTCTTGATGTGATTGTGATCTAAACTCTTCCATTCATAAAAAACTAAAAGAGAAATCAAAAATAAAATAACTTTTTCTCCTGCTTTCCCACTAAAGTTTATGATGCAAATAAGAGGCTTCAAATTCTATTTATTAATCTTCGAATTAAGGAATAAAATTTGACTTCTAAATAAATGTATGCCACGTTTCTACAGCGATCAGAAGATTTACAGTTTAGTTTTTTTTAAACAGTTGGCAAGCACTGGCTTTTTAGTAATCTTGTAAGCGGGATTTTTAGACCCTTTTTTGCTGTATGATGACTATTATGACTATATATATATATATATATATATATATATATATATATATCAGGTGGTCAAATATGTCTCGGTTGGTAGAGCAGTTTTCTTGTGAGAAAATATTTTTAGTTTGATTTCAGCTTCTCCCTGTCGCATGTTGATGTGCCCCTGGGCAAGGCACTAAACCCTGTGTACATATTTATATATGAATGTTTGCTAGTTTGTGAATGCAGCTGGGTGCATGTGGCTTTCATAGGATGCATTTTTAGTAGTCAGTTAGAATAGCAAAGTGCTGAATAAATTCAGTCCATTTTCCATTTAAATGTCTCAGTATTATGAGTTATTGACATATTTGTCAAGGTGACACTTTAGTACTTTGCTGTCATAGTATTGACTCCTGAAATCTCATTTTGGTGTAGTCTGTTTTTGGCCAAGTATAGAATCATCATTCCCTCCCTTTGTCTGATGAGATTGAAAATCAAGGCAGAAATCATAGAGTTTAGTGGATTGTGGATTAAGCTTGCTGTATAGTTTGTTAAAAAGAAAAAGAACAATAAATTCTTTGTCTGCAGAATCTTTGCTATTTCTCTTAAATAAATCAGATTTTTCTTTCTTCAGAAATACTTTCTGTCTTAAAAATATACAATTTTTCTTAAGGGCCAATAGGGTATCCCCTCTCATCACCTGCATCGCCTCTGCTGCCTATAGCTTCCAAGGCTTTGTTATTTCCTGATAGAGCATTGCAGAAAAGCAGCTTAGGTACATTAAAATAGCTCAAAACTAAAAGGAAATAAGTGCACACAATTACAAAAAGAAAAAATGGAGGAATAGATGGGTGAACAGTTCTCAGGTAGCACAAAAATCTGGATAAACAGCACCCCAAGGTTCTTCATAAATGTAATACGAGCACACCCTTATTACTTTTTTACATGTGGTGATATTCTGGTATGATATATGATATCCTGGTCATTTTTTATATGCCCTTTTTACATTACTAAAAAGCTAAACTGCTTGCAAGCTATATAAAAAAGGTAAAATAAAAAGAATAAAAAGTATAATCTTGAAGCTGCTGAAAACGTTTGCACCATATCATTGCATTTTTATAAAGCTCCTCTAAAGACTGAATAGAGAAAATGCCAGGGACCATAGTTTTATTTAGGTGTATGGGACATAGAGTAGTAAGTGTTCCCCACTCCCTCATCTGCTGCTGCACACTGCCAGTCAGCTCTCATACAGTAAAAAAGAAAAGCATTGCATTACTCTTATCAAAACAAATTTTGTTTTAAAGCTTCGCTTGACAAGCTAAGAGTGGCTGCTATGTTAAATATCCGTCAGTAGATATGCCGGCTAATTAACCAGCTGAGATGTTAAATCTGTTATTCTGCAAAGACATAAACAGCATTAAAGTTTAATAATCTGTAAAAAGTGAGATTGAACTCCCAAAATCTAAAGAGTCAGTTTTCTTGCTAATTAATACAAATAAAAAAGTCATATTATAATTAGTAATGTTATAACACATGTGGATTTATCTATTATTCAAACAGAAATAGGAATAATGTCAAGTTTACTTTTTCTAGATAAAAGCAATGAAATCATGCAATATGTTTTCCTTTGACATCATTATATGAATATTATGAAATGTAGTATTTTTACTCTGTGTTATTATCTAATACTGGCCCAAGCCTAAAGTATGTATAAGAGGTTGTGGGATTCATGGAGACAAAAGCGCAGTGTGCACCAGTAAAGTTTCTGTCTGGGAGAGAGGAAGCCAGATATATTTATGGTAGGCATGATGGGACAGACAGATTGCATTTATCTTCCGTCCCATTGTGGGTAAACCTTTCCTCTGCTGCATCATCCCCCACAATCCTGTCTCAGTTTCTAGCCATTCGGTGGATCTGCTGAGCTTTCTCCTTTAGTGCCTTTTTTTCCTGTGTTGACATATACATTAATTACCGAGTATGCCAGGAACACTTGTCTCAAGTTACTACCCTGCTGTCCACTGTGTGTGCGTTTTTTTTGTTGTTTTTTTTTTTGCAGTGAATGTGTGTTGCACCATTAAGGGCTTCAATGGAATTTGAAAAGTGAGAGAAGAAAGCAATGTTCAAACACAGTTGGGTTCGTTAAAATGAGTAGATGCTCAATCAGAGTTTTGATTTTATTTGATTATTTTAAATGTCCAACTTTAAGAGTTTATTAATTGCTTACGTTATTCATTCTGTCCTCTTTTTTTTAGCATTTTGTATTAGTTTTTAGTGCAGCTATATTTCCAAAAGGCCAAAAAAAGAAGAGACCAATATTTCAAAGAAATCCCAGCCATTTAAACCATCTTAAACAAAAGAGAGAATGTTCATGGATTTGGCATTTCAAAAGAGATTTGGGCTCTTATATATATACATATATATATATATATATATATATATATATATATATATATATATATATATATATACATATATATATATATATATATACATATATATATATATATATATATATATATATATATATATATATATATATTAATGATTAGTGTAGCTACAACACTGCCAGCAATCTCCCCTGATGTTTCCCCTTTAGAATATAGAAAGACTTACTTAAACTCAGAGATTGCTTTAAAGGTTCCCAAGATGCCAAGTAAGTTTCACATTTAACAAGGTGAATCTAAAATTGGATAAGACAAGGTGAGCTCGCTTGATTCCCTTCAGCCTTCCTGTTATCTTATAAAAATCTTGCACTCTCTTGCTTTCTCTTGACCCGAATAGCTTGTCATTAGTTCTTGACATGTTTAAAAAAATTGTTTTGACTATCTTATTGCACAAATCTTTTCTAAATCATTATTTTTAAAGATCTTGCTACTGTGGCTGAAATCACTTCGTAACAGTCTTCACGCCGTTGTGGTCGTTGATACTCATAACATTCACTTGTATGGTTTCCTTGAATGGGTTGGCAAAAAAAATATTTAGCAGATGGTTTTCTTGAGCGTTTCTTTCCAACAGGTAATGGTTGAAGCATGGGGAAGTGAATGGGCAGACAGGTGTCAAGATTTAAGAAGCATGATAGCCTTTAAAAATGAATCTTTTTGATTTTTGTTAAGTTGTGGAATCTTGTTTCCCCTTAACAACACTGAAGGCTATGGAGACTCAAATCCTTTAACATTACATGCAAGCTTATAAAAGGCTTCTGAAATATTTGTGCGCTGCAGAGGGGTCAGGATCATTCTGCAACTTTTAGACAGCTGGAGCGTGAGGTTTATATTCACGGGAAGCAAGGAATGTGACAACAAAGCTTACCTCAAGCAGACACCTTAGTAGATTTGGCTTCAAAGACACTCAACAGATTGAAATGTCAGATTAGATTTGAGTGTGTCTTAAACATGTAGTCATAACAAAAGTGCTACTGGGCTGTTGCATCCGCAGAGGTTTGGACAGGTGGTTGGGTA